ACACCCTCCGTGGGGTCTCCAGCTTGCCCTGCCTGCAGGTCAGAGGACCAGGCCTGCTGGAGGCCTGGGCTGGCGGGAGAGTCGATCGATCCACCCATCCCCGGCTTTCTCCTCCATCCCCGTCCACCAGGCTCCCTCCTCCCTTCTTCTCTGGTCCCTGAAAATGCACCCAACCCCCTTGAGGTACTCAGAAAGCATTTTAGTACTGATACCTTCGAGAAAACAAACAGGGGTTCGTAAGACTAAGGATAAGGGAAGCGGTTCAAACAACAGTCAAAGTAAGAGTCGTCTGTGGTCGGCACCAAGTGAAAAGGAACTCCCAGTCTCCGTGCTGGCTAAGTCCTCCTGCTTTGCTTGGGGAATACTGGTTGTCCTTTGCAGTACTGGAGATTGGACCACGGGCGCTTTACCACTGAGCTACAGCCCCAGTCCCTTTGACCTTTATTTATTTGTTTGTTTGTTTGTTTAGTTGTCAATGGACCTTTATTTTATTTATTTTTATATGTGATGCTGAGAATCAAACCCAGTGCCTCACACATGCTACCAGTCAGCCACAACCTCAGGCCAGACCTTTTCATTTTAGACAGGGTTTTGCTAAATTACTGAGTTAACCTTGAACTTGCAATCCTTGCCTCTGCCTCTGCCTCCTGAATCCTGAATCCCTGAAATTACAGGTGTGCACTAGCATGCCCGGCCAGGAAAATCATCTTTCCTTAAAATGTTGCTATTGTATTCTTCCTGAGCTTTTTTTGCATTTTTTTTTAAATATTGTATTAAGGGCTGAGGATGTAGCTCACATGCACAGGGCCCTGGGTTCAATCCCCAGCATCATAAATAAATAAATAAATGTTGTAGTAAACTATTATCTGTCTCAATTGCCAAGTTTTGGGGGCCTCTTAAATTTGATGCCCCTGGTGAATGCCTCCCTCGACTCACCCAAGCTCTGGCCCTGAGAATTGGAGCTGCCTGAGTCGTCACTTCTCTGCTAAGCTGTCCCCAGTCTCTCCTTTCACCTCCTACAAGAAAGAGGGTCGGCTCATCCTCTGTGTTACTGCTTCATTCAACCAACCAACATCGACTGCATACCTACTCTATGCCAGGTCCCAAGTCAGGCATTTTAGAAACAAAAATGAATTGTTCATGTATTAAGCATTTATTGGCCACCTACTGTGTGCCAATCACTGAGTCAGGCTCCAGAACACTCCAGTCAGGCTTGATTCTCAGCACCACATATAAATAAATGCATAAAATAAAGGTTCATAAACAATATATATGTATATAAATTCAAAACAGCCTGCACAGTGGCGCACAACTGTAATTCCAGGTACGTGGGAGGCGGAGGCAGGAGGATTGAACATTCAAGACCAGCCTGAGCAATTCAGCAAAACCTTGCCTCAAAATAGAAATAAAAAGAGTTTAGGAACATAACTCGGTGGTGCAAGGCCCTGGATTCAAACCCCAGCACCAGAAGAAAAAAAAAATTCAACAAGAAGTGGTGATGCACACCTGTGACCCCAGCAACTCCAGAGACTGAGGCAGGAGAATCCAAAGTTCAAAGCCAGCCTCAGCAACTTAACCAGGCCCTAAGCAACTTAGTGAGACCATGTCTGAATAAAAACAAAAAGGGGGGCTGGGGTTGTGGCTCCGCGATGGAACGCTGGCCTAGCATGTGCAAGGCACTGGGTTCAATCCTCAGCACCACATAAAAGTGAATAAATAAAATAAAGGTCTTGTGTCCAACTACAACTATACACACACACACACACACACACACACACACACACACAAGTTCAATTCCCCTCTACCAAAAAAAAAAAAAAATTCAAACAGACTTACAGATAGCCATAAATTCAAAAAAAATAAAGTAGTGGGGTTGGGCCAAGCCCTCAAACTGCCCCCGGAGGGCAGAAAGACACATGGGAAGGGGAGTTGTTGAACAGGCACGACGAGCTACGCTGATGGCTGCTGCAGAGCTATTTTATTAGGGCTGGCCCAGGAGTGATCTTCTAAGGGAGGAGAAAATTGGAGCTGAATCTTCAAAGATGACAATCCACCACGTGAAGGAGGACAGGACACTCCTGATGCCAGACACTGGGGTGTACAAGGGCACAGAGGTGAGGAACGAGGAGGGGTGTCTGGAGGCTTGGAGCACGCAGTGGCGGTTGGTGGTGGGTGGATGTGGAGAAAGACAGGAATCCAGATGACGCTGGGCTTCTAGCTTGGAGAGTGGGCGGGTGACTGTACTGAGAAGAGCAGAAGTGTGAACCCTGCAGGTGGTACGTACACTGGGGACAGGTTGAGTGTGAAGGGCCATGGGACACCCAGCTAGAGATGCCCCGGGGCCAGCCGAGTCAAAGGAGAGGATCAGCCAGAGAGACGGAAGAGGGCAGTGGCTGGGGTACTCAAGGCAGATGACAGAAGGCTCCACAGTCCCACCACAGGGAGTAAGTATGGATTTAGAGTGAAGCAGGTTTGTCTCAGAGGCAAATAAATCTTCCAGATAATAAAGTCATCTGATATTTCCCCCTAAATCTAACTCTCCTTAGCCCTCCAGCTAGAGGAATAACCTTTAGGTTGCCCTAAATTACAAGAAACTAGAGTAGGTTGATGATACAAAAGACAATTGATACAACATGATACTTTTCGGTTTTAATTTTTAATTCTGAACTTGATTCCCAGCCCTGAGGGAAGAAAGAACTCCTAAAGCATAATTCTCACCCAAAATTGCTCAGCTTTCCTCCTATAAGAGAGTCTGTAAGCTGGGCGCAGTGGTGAATGCCTGTAATCCCAGCAGCTAGGGAGGCTGAGACAGGAGGTTCAGAAGTTCAAAGCCAGCCTCAGCAACTGGCAAGGCCCAAAACAACTCAGTAAGACCCCATTTCTAGATAAAATATTAAAAAGGGCCAGGGATGTGGCCCAGTGGTTAAGAACCCCTGGGTTCAACCCCCAGTGCCCCAAATAAAAAAGTGTGAAATGAAGACACTTATTCCAACCCGATAGTTGCTGTGAGGACCAGATGAGACAGCCCGTGTCAACATATTTGTAAGAAATGAGGTTCAGTATAACATAAAGCATCTGGCATGGTGTCTAGTGAAACGCAGTAAGTCACTCTCAGGACGAATGGAAACAAAAAAATCTGGGGTCATATCCCAAGGACACCTTGGGAAGATAGTCAGGGGCAGACCATGAAAACCTCTAAGTCCTTCAACAGCTGGAACTTTATGGAATCCCAAAGCTCAGGCGGAGGTGCAGCCGCCCAGGAATTTATTATCTAACTTTAAGCTCCCCAAATCCCCATGAAGCTCTGGAATGATGTGACTGCAGGGTGCTCGGGCCCATTGGCACGAAGTGCCCCTCCATAAATCAAGGTCTCACTTCTGCTGGCCCAGAATGTTTTGCCAAGGTGACCTGCACAAAGCAAAAGGGTAGTTTATCTAGGGGGTGGCCCCTGCCTTCAGATGAAAAGCCCTGATTCTGCCTCGAGGATGAAATCTCTAGAAATATATCCCACGCACATTCTTCCTTCACCTCGCAAGGAGCAGAGGGAGGTGACAGTCTTCCAGGATTCAGCCAATTTGGGCACCCATTTCAACCCATGGGGCAAACTGGAGAAGCCTGTTCCAGTGCTGGGCCCGTTCTTCAGAAAGGACAGGATGACCTCTGCCTCATCACCCGTTCCCCCAAAGCAGCCATTCAAATCACAGAATCTTAAATCACTTGGCCAACACCCTAATGATTCAGGTAAGGAAAGATGACCTTGTCCAAGGTCACAAAGCCTTGAGGGGAAGACTCAGGGTGAGCTGGGGGTCTCACTGCACCGCCCCCCCACTTTAATAAAGTCACATGGGCAGAATAGCCTGGTTCCAGTCCAGGACTCCAAAAATTTAACCCCATGCCAACAATTCTTCTGGCCATCTTAATTTCTCCAGTGGAGAAATGAGCTGTGAGCATGGAAGCCAAAGACTATAAGATGGTGCCTTGTCTTTAGCAAATAAAGTGGATAAAGAGGGAAAGACACCACCCCTGGGAAACACCAGGACCTAGAAAGGCATCAACCCACACAGATGCTTGGGACGACACCAAGTGACGCCCACCCCAGCACCGAGGCCACGCCCACTCCAGCTAATCAAGTCCCCAAATCAGACTCTGAGAAGATGCCGGAAGGGCGCTGGAAGAAGCAGCTCCCTTGACTAAATGGCAACTTAAAAAACAAAACAAAACAAAAAACCTCAGTTATAGGATTGTTGTGGGCATTGAGAGGATGGATCATGTTTTTTTTTTTTTTAATATTTATTTTTTAGGTGTAGATGGACACAACACAAGGCCTTTATTTGTATGTGGTGCTGAGGATCGAACCCGGTCCCGCCCGGGCTAGGCGGGCGCTCTACAGCTGAGCCACAATCCCAGCCCCAATGGCTCATGTTTGACGCATGATTGAAGTCATTCTGGCGCACCAAGGACAGGGTGCCCTGCCCCGAGCGCACCCCTACTGTAGAGAGCAGAGCGCAGTGTACTCTAACTGTCCCGTCACTTGTCCATCTCCGCCAGTGGAGAGGGAATTTAGTAAGTGGCTTGCTCACTCGCTGTAGCATCCCAGAGCGCCTGGCGCAGGCCACATAGCAGGTGCTTCTTGCAAACTTATGAATGAACGAACGACACCTTTGCCAGTCGTCTTTGTAATCATTCATTCACTGTCCCAATTTGCCCGGGACCGAGGGGTTCCCTAGTCTCAGTGCTAAAATCTGAACAGTCAGAGATGAGTGGCAATTTTAACAAATTCTCAGGAAGAAAGGAGTTTAATCAAGGCCAGAATTCAAATTGGATGGCTCTGCCCCTTCTGGGTCTAAGCCCCACCCCCTTTGTGCCGCCCTCCCTCTGACTCCTCCCCCTCCCTCCGGGAAGGTCACCTTAGGAGCCGGAGGCCAAATGAGCATGCGTCTTGCTGGCCGCTACTGCGCACGCTCGCTTTGCCTTGCTCCGCCTTCCCTCCTCCCGCCGGGATCCGAAACCGCCTCCAACTCGGTGGCTCCCGCGCGGCTAGCGGGTCCACGGGGGACGCCGGCTCTGCGCCGCGGTGTTCGACGGGACGTCGGCAGAGAGCGACCTCGGGGTTAAGGGGTGGGGCTGACGTCAGGAGCCAAGATGGCGGCGGTGGTCGCGGTCTCCTTGAGGCGCCGGTTCCCGGCCACCGCGCTCGGCGGAGCGTGCCTGCAGGTGAGCCTGGGTCCCGCGGG